CTTGACCCTGTCTCCTAGTGACAGACCTGTGTTTTCCCAGAGCACCTATTTTGCCCCAAGTTACAATCTGGAGGTCGGCTGATAGTTACCCCCCCATTTTTCTATTTTTGCTACAGCGTTGCAACATCCCTGTCTCTTCTTATTTTTTGTTTTAACTCTGTGCTGCTGAGTTACCCAGGCTGCCCTGAATGTGAGTAGCTGGGATTATAGGCATGCAATGCTACAAGCAGCTGAGTCTTGCCTCAGTAGAACGAGAGATGTCCAATGTTGTGGGATATTCAGTGTCAGAGAGTAGCCTAGGACATCCAGCCTCCCCCACTTCTCTGGTAACCCCAATTTTGTCACCCACCTCATTATTAAAGTTTGGGACAGGGTATTCAGTTCTACCAATTTCACAAAGTAGAATAAATCTGTTTGCCCACACACACACACACACACACACTGTATATTGAACCCTAGGCCACCGTCACACTCTGCAACACACCCAGACTTTTATTATTATTGTTGTTGTTGTTGTTGTTGTTATTATTATTTTAAAGACAGGATCTCCCTAAACTGCTAAGTTGCCCAGGGTGGGCTTGATCATATGATCCTCCTGCCTTGGCCTCCCATAGTGCTAGGATTACAGGCAGTCATCACCAAATCTAACAAATCTACCTCTCTCTCTCTCCTCTCTCTCTCTCTCTCTCTCTCTCTCTCTCTCTCTCTCTCTCTCTCTCTCCCTCTCTCTCTCCCCCCTCACCCTCCCCTTCCTTCCTTCCTTTCCAGTACCGAGGATCAAACTCTGAAACTTGCACTTGCCAGGCAAGTGCTTGAGCTACTGTTCTATCTACCCAGCCCACTTCACTTTCTTTTTCTTTTCTTTTCTTTTCTTTTTCTTCCTTTTTTTTTTTTTTTTTTTTTGAACCAGGTATTGAACTCAGGCCCTTGTGCTTACCAGGCAAGCACTTATTCTACTGAGCCATCTCCCTGGCCCCCCCACTTCACTTTCTTTCTTTTTTAAAAAATTGAATTTAGAACAGGGTCTATCTCCCCAGCACATCAATTTCTGAAGCAGCTCTGGAAGTCCGATTTTGTGACTGCCTTCGCAAGGTACAATAGAAAATATAGTGAATGGGGGCTGGAGAGACAGCTCAGTGATCAAAATGCCTGCCTGGCAAGTGCAAGGACCCAGGTTGGATCCTTGGTACTGCATGCCATGCCCCAGTGTACCCCAGTGCTGGAGAGGCTGAGATAGGAGGATCACTACGAGTTTGAGCTGCATAGTAAGACCCTGCACCAAGTAAATAAATAAATAAATAATATTTTAAAAATACAGTGAATGCCTCTGCTGAATGCCACATAGTGGAGAGGCCGGCTCCTGACAGTACGGCAGTGCACCCTCACCAACACTGCACCAGGTCAGCTCTGGCTCGCCCCAGGCTCTGCCTCACCTCAGGGTCAGCAGGACCAAGCAAGGTCCGAGTTTTGAATCGATTCAGGACATAGAGGCAGCCACAGCAGCACAACGAAAGACTCTCACAAGAGGACATCCAGAGCTGCTTTGGAAAGGTACAAGATTGATCGGACAAGCGTGTTGAACTGAAGGGAAGGATTTTGAATGGGGATGCATGGCAGTATGTCTTTCATCAGAATAAGGTTTTAAAAGTCTCAGTATTTGCCAGACTTTTCCTACCCCATCTTGCACATCCAGACAACCTGTGTGCTGCACAACCCTAAGAAGCCAGACTGCTCCACTATTTCATGCGTGTGGCAGTCCTGTCTCTCAACCTCACCTTGGCTTAACCAATGCCACACTTTTAGCCATTTTCCTTAATACTCTTCCCTTTCCAGGTAGTAATTTCTCAGTCAAGAACATCATGAATGCAAGGGACAGAAATGCACAAAGCGGAGTTCAAACACCCAGAAATTTTCTGGCGCCTAGAAGCAGAGATGACGAGGGCTTCCGGCTTCAGGTACAGCTGCATCCAGGCTCCACCAGCACAGCCAGAGCCGTCTGTCTGACTCGCTGGACACCCTGGCGTGGAATGACCTCACCTTGCACATGGCTCTGGACCTTTAGGGGAGGTAGTTGCAGGTAGCAGGGTCAGAAATCAGAGCTGAGCCTGGCAGGCAAGGAGGGGGCGTGCACTCAATTTTGTGGCTCCAGCCTGTCCTTGTGTGTATCTTTCAGATGTGCTCAGAGTGGCCTCGTCTGCTCACTGTTTATCTTCTGGGACCATTGTTTAGATTTCATAGAGAACATCAGGCCTGGCTGCCAGGAGCTACTTTTCACCTCCTTCCTTTACCCCAGACTGGGTCTTCCTTTTACCAGGGCCTGGGTCTTGGGGTAAAGCCTGCCAGGGGTCTTCCCAGGCCTGGCTGTGCTGCTCCAGAAATGAGTGCTGGGGCCAGGCACCTGGATCCCCAGGCACACAGTAGGGACAGGTATGTGGGTAGCAGGTGGAAGACTTTAAGGGAAAAAACATTTCAGACTCTGCTTTGCAGGGTGTGAAAAAACGCTGTTCAGAAACAGTGGAAGCCTCCACTGTCATTAAAAAATAATTTTTTTTGGGGGGTAAACCTGAGATCAAGCAAAGATAAGTATGTTTTGAAACTGCAGGGCTTGATCTGTGCATGGTGAGTAAGCCAGGATCTCGCTATGCAGTGCAGGCTGGTCCAGAATTTGCTATGTAGCCCAGGATGGCCTCGAACTCGTGATCTTCCTGCCTCAGCCTCGGAGTGCTGGGATGACAGGCGCGCACCACCCTGGACAGTTTATTTGCTGTTTTTGGAACAGAGATATGGACAGAAGGCTGAGACAGAGAAAGAGGTAGAAACAAAGAGAAGGATGAGGCAGGCCAAGAGACAGGACCGGAGACAAAGGGATTGGGACAGAGAAGGGGACAGTAGTGGAGAATCAAGGCTGAGGCAGGGCGGAGAATGGAGTGGACGCAGAGCGACAAGGCCTGAGTCAGACAGGGCCGGAGAGGGGCACAGAGGCAGACAGGAAGGGCCCAGGCCCGGGAGCGCGCATGGAGGGGTGGCCGGGCCGAGACAAAGGCTGGCCGGGGGCGGGGGCGGCGATGGCGCCGGCCGCGGCGGGGCGGGCGGACTACAAGTCCCAGCAGCTCCCGCTGCGGCCCTCGGCCGGCCCCGCTCT